AAGTAGGGCAGGTTTGCCCCTACGTTCCCTTTTTTGGGGGCCTGGGCAGGCCCAAACTTGGTTTTCAAGAAATGGTCCCATGTTTATCATATTTCCATTGCAATGGATAGCCGATGCACATTCCTAGAGGTCAATGACCTCATTTGACTGGAGTTGGTCATACAAAAGCACTACTCAGGGAGGTAAAAGTTTTTACTTGTAGGGATCCAATCACCTAGGGGCAGGTTTGCCCCTATAGGCCTAGGGCCTAGGGCGGCCAATAGATTTTTCTTATGACCCTCCACCCATCCCAATCGATCGTCGATGTCCGCACGAAGGGGTATGGGAAGACCTTTCACTGGGTCAAATAATATGCATATGTACATGGTACACGAAACTTTAAACCATAGAATTTGGACAGGGTCCCATTTTAATAGACCCTCCACCCATCCCAATCTGTCGTTGATGTCGGCGCCCAGGGATATGGATTCAGGCCTATATAGGGAAGACCATACAAAGCCAAGACATGTAGGGCAGGGTTGCCTCTGTATATTTTAGGCCTGTGGCTGAAGGTCAATGACCTCGTCAATACTATAGGTAAAACACATGAGCTTTAATTTTACTGGGTCTTTGGACATTTAACCATGGTCCATCATGACCACTATCATGACCCTCCACCCATCCCAGTCGATCGTCGATGTCCGGACCGAGGGGCAAAAGGTTCAGGGAGATTCTAGTCCCTATAACTTGCTCAAAGCCAAGACATGTAGGGGAGGGTTGCCTCTGTATACTTTTTAGGCCTGTGGCTGAAGGTCAATGACCTGACTTTACTCGACCTGGTCAATACTATAGGCAAAACACATGAGCTTTAATTTTACGGGGTCTTTGGACATTTAAACATGGTCCATCATGACCACTATCATGACCCTCCACCAATCCCAGTCGATCGTTGATCGTTGACAAAGTTGACAACCTGACCCCTCATTGAATGGTGTTTTGGCAAGACCAACGTACCGTAAGCTTAAGGTCTTAGACCTGTAGGGACAGATTTTCTGCTGCGCAGGACAGGTAACCCCATGTCTCCATTCAATCTCTGTGAGTTTCCGCTATGATCTCATCCAAAGGCCAGTCATAGTAGTATCTGGTCCTTGGTGGCCAACTCCACTTAAAGTCACCATTAGGACTCTAGGCACTTCACTTACCCATATCCCATGTCAAGTTGCTGGCATTCCCATCTTCTTGGCCAGGTCCTCATCCACCAGCCGTTGCTTATACAAGTCCTAGCCAGGCTCAAGTGGGTGTTCTCCATGTGAGCACACAAGTCCAACTCCAAAGATCTAGTCAGTGGTCGTGGTTCCTCTATGCAGCTCTAACATCATGTCTCAGTTTCCAAATGGCCTCGCCTTCAGCACCTGGACGAGGAGCTCCCGTGGCTTCGAATCCGGCATGGCTTCGAAACCAGACGTGACCTCCGCCCCAGTCGAGTCCTACAAATGATCGTGCAGAAACACTGTTGCCTTGCAATGGTGGCCTCCCTTTGTGCTCATCTAGCCAAACGGCCACATCAAGATCGGCTCGGGTATGTTGTTCTTGGCTTAGCCACTTGGCCGCTTGCCATCCAGATTTCCAACCAAACAACCACGAGTTTCCCTTCCAATTCTATTCAAAAAAACTTCTGATCATCATCCCATCACGGTTCTTGGCTTAGCCGCTTGCCATCAAACACCCTGGCCCAAGCACCCTGTCTCCACTGCATGTCCATCCCAGATTAAACATGCCATGTGCACCTTCATCTTCGACGATAGGCTTCCAGGCTTTCCAGTGATGAGCTATTGCCTGCCGCATCCCAACGCACGAGGGAAGTGAGGCATGAATGCATGCACATGTGTGTTCATCCCCTACAGGTGAAGGCCCTAAATTGACTGGATCCAGTCATTCAAAGCCAGTACTCCATGAGGTCAAGGACCCATGTCATCTATGTTGAGGCCTCACATTGGGTCACCTGCAAAAATTTGCTGTAAAATACAAACAATGAGCCTCCAACTGCAGAAGACTCCAGTGGTTCCGAGAGGTGATCCTACTGCGGTTCTTGGCTGAGCCGCTAGCCATCCACAAGCAACCCTTAATGGTGGCTTAGCCGCTTGCCATCCAGAATGCCCACCAAAAAGGAGCAGGTTTCCTTACATATTTAACTAAATCCACTTCTCAGGAGACAATGAACACAATTCAGGTTTTAATGGGGTCAAGTAAATAGTGTTCAACGTAAATAGTGTTCAGTGTCTTCATATTGAGATGGACAAGTTTAACGAGGTCATTGACTTGGAGGGTATATATTTATTTTTGTATATACTATACACCATAAGTGAGCTAATTCATGCCAAATCCACAATGGTTTTTGCCGTTTTCTCTCTGCCCGCCGTCCGAGCTGTGGAGGTTTAATGGCAATGCTCAGCAAGCCAAACGCCACGTGGAGCACTCTTGGAGGGATCGGACGGGGGGATGGGAGATCGGATTTCGCCAGCCTTGGGAATCCAATTCTTGGCTGGGCATCGCGTCTACAACAACCTGGGAAAGTGCAAACTGGACATGGGCAAACTTTTTTCTCCATATCTCCAGTTTGCACTTGTGTAGGTCAAATCAACAGAATCTGGTCGGCAACGTTCGAATTGTGGCGTGCATATCATTGGTTTGGTAGACGCTGAATCATTTAAGGGGCTGGTAGGATAAACTTATTTTTTTGGGGCTTGCCTTTTGTTGGAAAGCGCCTGATCAGAAACTGGTTACATATAGCTCACTCACCCATCGCAGGTGGCCTTGTAGCCTCTGACACACAACCCTTCACCTTGGACACTTTGTGCGAACATATGGGCTTTGTGGGGGCTGGCTTAATATATTGTATATAATTATCTATATAATATGTATTTTCTTAGACAGATAGGTGAAGCGTGGCCGCCAAACAGATCCGTTCTGCCCTGGGAATTCAATGACACTCGGACCTTTAACTTTGGTTTTGGCCGAGAAAAAAATATATTTGTGTTGAACCGGGCACCACTGAGGGATGCTGAAACACGAGATCGCCCAAAGTAAGACCTCGTTGGTCTCGGCCATGCTGGAGACCTTTGCGCGTGCAGATAGCGACGAAAATGGGGTCTTGGAGGGCGAGGAACTGTGGCCTGGATGCACAGGACCTGGATGCATAGGTATACATTGCCAGGTATACATCGGTTAGTTCGAATGAGAAAGGACACCCTGCAATATTTTAGTTTTCCTACGTCTTCCCCGTCAAAAGCTCCAAGGGTCAATGGGGTTACCACGCACCACTGATTTGGCGACAGTTGTTAAATTAAATCTAGGTTTTGAACTCTTCAGGAACGTGACTTGGAAACTGTTTGGTCCCTCTATATATTTGTTGGTATTCAACATTCTTCTGGTGTTGGTTGTTCTGCTCGTTCTGATGCAGAAAGGTTCATCATCCATTGTAGGGGTGGTCGGTGGTGTGGTGCTGGTCGGTGGTGGTCCATGGACCACAAAGTTATTATCCGCTCAACTCGCCTGGTGCGAGTTGGGTGACGATTTTTCCTCAATTCTGCACGAAAAAAACGTCCAAACAAGGCCATCTTAGGCCGCCAGCACGTGAACGACGGAGAACGGCCGATGGTGATTGGATCCCCGGTGACGATGGTCGATGTGCAAAGAGTCAGGGTGGGACGTGACCGGACGTTTGGTCGCCTCGCGATGACCTGGGGACCGACCACCCGTGCGGGACAGAACGGACTTTTTAGTGGACTGGTCAGTTGGGGACCAGCGCAAAGCCATCAATTTCTGGGAGGATCGGAAGGTGCCCAATATCTCACTCGGAGGACGCCGCTAGGCCACCGGTCTTCGGAAAATGCGCTACATCACCGGGGGTGGTGTTCAGGGTCCATGTGAAAACGATGTCCGAAGTCGAAGTCGCGGGCCATCTCTCATTCCTAAGAGACTTGGTAGGACCTGGTCACTCATTCCGCTTTTTGAACTGACACCAGGAGGCCGACCAGCAGCTACGTCTGAAACGAAATGAAACGGACTGGTGGACTGGCCGGGCTCTGAGTTTGGGGGCGGAGCCTCGGCTGTGCACGCAGAATTTTCCTCGCCTGTACACGCGCATAGATTTACTCGGTTGTGCACGCGCTCCTCGGCTGTGCACGCCGCTTGCTCGGCTGAATGAATGAATGAATGAATGAACGAACTGAAATGAAATGAACTGAACTGATGAACTGAACTGAACTGAACTGAACTGAACTGAATGAATGAATGAATGAATGAATGCACGCATTATCGCACAAAGTCGGGGGAGACTTAATGTTTTTGAATGGAAGTACCTGCGGCCAAAGCTCGAACGCTTACGTTTAGCAGAACCCTGTGCAAGCGAGAGGAACTCTACCAGAGGGACGTTATTAACACGCAGAGCATCTGTGTGACGTGGTACTGTGGAAGCAATGAGCAAAAAGAGATCATCATAGATGAATGTCCAGAGGGACGTTATTAACACCCCCCCACCCCCCCCCACCGCAGCATCCCAACCCAACATCATCAACCAAACGCAGAGCGTCTGTGTGACGTGGTACTGTGGAAACAATGAGCAAAAAGAGATCATCATGACTCAATTTGTGTGTGTGCGCGCAGGTGAGCGAAGTCTGTGTGCGCAGATGAGTTGGAGGTAACATGCACTGTTTAAAGAACAATGTAATCGATGTGTGCGCAGCTGAGCGAACCCTGTGTGCGCAGGTGAGTTAAATGTATTAAAAAAGGCTGTGTGCGCAGGTGAGTTAAATCTTGTGTGCGCAAGTGAGGCGCCATCCACCCATCCCCCATATCATGATACAGATACAGAATGACACAGATCAAATGAAGAACAACGTATAATACATTATAATACCAACAAAAAACAAGCCATTATCATTAATAACATGCCTTCTTCATCACTCATCACCTCATTTTTTGGGCAAAAAAACACCCGCCCCACCCCGTCACTTCCTCGCGGTCGACCAGGTTGGAGTTCTTCGGCACAGTTGACCAGGTCTGCAAGGACATCCCGGGGGTAGCGGTGGCTTGGTCCGTGAGGATGGAGGATGGAGTGGCGAGCCGTCCAGGGCCTGTTAGAAACATGAGAGCTTAGGAAAAAGACTGGAGAACTGCGAACTTAAATAATACGATATAACAACATCCAAAAACTATAAGAGGAGTGAACCATGTGAACCCACATCTCAAAGTGTGTTGTGACCGTGGTGTTTGATTTGTGTTTGAACATGCAATGGGTATGTCAGGTATGTGTCTGTGGGCAGCAAGACCTTTTCACATGTGCATTGTCCCCTGCACATAGGGCCGCGTCGGGCCACCTCGAGAGTTAAACATTTCGGAATCGTGATTTCATCCAAAGCGACATGCTATTCACATCGCAGCTACTCTCTATTGGATGAAATCTCCGTATGGCCCTGTTCTTTCAGCGACCATTGGCCAATCTCCATGACCCTTCTCAAAAACGACGGCGTCATCTTTTTAGTTAAAGGGTCCGAAATCATGTTTCCTCCTCCGACCCACCTCACCTGACCCGATGAATGTGCCAAGTCACTCTTGAGGATGGTGAGGTCGATGCCAGTGCGCTTGTCATCTATGTGGGCTGAGGTGTTGCGACACTTGGTCATCGTGTCGTAGAGGGACTTTGAGTCTGTGGCTGCAACAAAAGGAAAGCTGGCCAGCTGTGACTCCCATTTATCAATCTGAAGATTGACATCGAACAGCTCGGCCAGCAAGAAGCGATGCCAGTGGAGGTTGCCGATGCCCTGAAGCATCGATTGGCACTCTGCCGACAGGGTGTTCACTGTGCAGCGTTTGAGCTTATAGCTCTTCCAACCAGCAATCGTGATGTCCTGCTTGTGGTCAGAGGTTTCTAGATCCTGGTGGTAGTAGAAAAGGAGGTATCCTCCTTGACTGTGTTTCTTAGCCAGTTGGAGGAATCGTTCAGACAGGGGTTGGTTCGTGACCTTCTTGTCCTTGGACTTGAAGAAGGTGGTGGTACCTGTCCATTGGGCACCTAGGTCTTTGAAACCATCTGTCCCATCCCACCTGTCATGTTCGATCTGGCTTCCAGCTTGTGTTCTCCGGTCTCTAGTGATCTGGCGCAGATCTGGGCCACTTGGATCAATCACTGAACCGGGATGGAAGGTTAAGCGACGTGGTGCGACATGGTGTCGGACCCAGGTTGTGGGTGTTTCCGTCCAGTAGTCCTTGGTGTTGTCACAGTCGGCATTGGGACCGGCATTGGCCCAAGAAGCATCGGTAGCTACTCCAATCCTGAGCTTGGAGAGTGGTATTGGTTGGATTCTTAATCCCAAGTCAGAGGTTCTTCGGAGGTCTTCTGCGATGCTATTTCCTTCTACAATGTCTCGGATCATGGGGTGAGGCATAGTTTGCTGAAGAAGTGAGACTCGTCCAGCAATGTCTGGTCGACATTCTTTGGCCACCCAACTCAGGCCTCCAATGAGCTGCCGAAGCTGTCCGATTTCTTCTTCCGAGCATCGAGAGTATTTTTGAGCTCCACGTTCACGACTGAGAGGGATCTTCTTGATGTAGTTCTCGATGTAGTTCTTTTGGGTAACTCGAATGGACCCGTTGGCTTCAGGAGTTAGTTCCTTGCCAGTGAATTTCCCTTCTCCCGTGGTGAACTTGCCCATCTTGTAGTTCTGTTGAAGCCACTTCATGTTCTTCCAATGTTGTACTCCACCTCCATGGACCATGTCGTCAGTGGCGAGGGCGATGATGCCGACCGTGTTTCTGGTTTGGCGACATCGGAGGTAGAAAAGACATGGGTCGGCTCGGCTCTTCTCATACCCCAACTCCTGGAGAACCCTGATGATGTGTTGGTACCAGGCGTAAGGACCATCGGTGAGTCCATAGCAAGTTTTCTTCAAGCGTAGGAGTTGCCGTGGATGATATCCTGGAAGTCCTTCAGGAGGGAGTTCAGCATGAAGTTCCCGAGCTATCAGATCTCCAGCATGAAATGCTTGGGTGAAGTCCAGGTGTCCGAGTTCCCATCTCATACTGGATATCACTTGTAAGGTGAAGAAAACAGTTTCTTTTGCGACCTGAGGGGTCGTCGAGGCAAGGTCTTCGGCACCTTGTTCCGAGAAGCCTTTCATGACGTGTCTGGCCTTCGCCTTTTGGGGTCCGAGAGATGGATCATTGTCCTCAATGAGTAGGCCATCTTGTTGGAGCTTCTCGACTTCCTCCACCTCGACTCCCTTCTCCGTGAGGACGTAGCGGGACTTCATGATCTTCTCCGCTTTGGTTCTCCTGATATGTTCAGATTCACCCCGATCGAGGACCTCGTAGGCACCTGAGCTCAGGTTGTTGGTCACCTCCTTGAGGATGGCCTTGAGAAATTTCTCTTTCTTCTTGGCGGGGAGCTTGTTGAGTACAATCTCTTTACCCTTTTGTGGTCGAAGCCGGACGAGTTCTTGATACAGTAGTTCCAGAGCTTCTGTCCTGATTCGTTTGACTGGTGGTTCAGGGTCCTCCACTCTCTCGCGGATCACTGGAGTAGACCGTGGTGACGTGGGTCTCTCCGGGGGCTTGCGGTTGTCCTCATCTTCAATCATCCTTCTCTCACGCTCTTCGTGGGGATCTTGGTCACCTGGTTCGGTAGGTGTGTAGTCATCCATCCTGGGCGACATAGACATAGGTTCCGGATGGTCGAGGTCTCCCTCCAAGGCTGTTTCCCTTTCTTCCGGTTTGAACTCGACCTCGGTCTCTGCTGTTTTTCCTTCAATTCGGTATCGAGGTTTCTTTGGTGGTGGTGGTTCCTCTCCGTCAGGTCGATCACGATCTTCTTCTTGTTCTGGTAAGGGTGCATTCTCGATGGCCGGGGGCTTCTCGTCGAGGATGATATAGTTTCTAATCTTGTGGTTCTGGATCTCCTTCTGGGTATTGACAATGTCGGTCAAGAAGTCCATGAACTGGAACTTTTCGTCATTGGTTATGGGACGAAGGTGTTCGGGAGCTGCTTTCACGAGAGTTCCTCTATAGCTGACCCATATTGTGTTCGGGAGGTCCGTGAGGATGACCTTGCCAGGCCCATGCCAAAAGGCTGGAGAGTCCTTCTTCTGTCGTTCCATTCCCTTTCTCCAGAAGTAGACCGTTTGACCCACCTCATAGTCGTAGAACCGTTTGGGGCCTGCATAGACCGAGTGTTTCAAGGCTTGTTCGCACTCGACTTGATGGAATGCAACAGCGGCTTGGGTTCGAATGTCTGTGGATCGTTGAACTTGTGCATCACCTGCGTGATAACGGGACATCACTCCAATGCTACCTTCACCTCCTTGAAAGATGCCTCCTGGAAGTCTGGGACTGTAACCAAGCATCCGTTGAATGGGGCTGAAGCCGGATTTATTGGACAGGCGGTTCATGGTAGCGTTGACCTCGTCCACGATGAGGTGCCACTCATCCCAAGATGAGCAACCTGCTTCCATTAGCGTTTTTGAGAGGACTTCTTTAAAGCTTCTACCAGCTCGTTCCGTGATGGCTCTTTGAGTTGGCATCTCTAAAGATCCTGGGTCCAGGTAGATGTCGTTCTGGTCCGCCATGAGCTCGAAGTGTCCTTTGAACTCTTTTCCAAGGTCACAATAGATGGCCTCTGGTGGTCCAAAAACTCTGAGCCACTGGTGAAATGCCCGAACTGCTCCTTGAGGTGTGTGGTCTTTTACAGGGATCATCAACTGAAATCGAGTAGCCCAGCAAACGCAGTTGAGGGCCATCTTGAGTTTGCCGCTAGGTTCAACTCCCGGTAGCCATACGGTGTCCACTCCCACCACCTGGTTTGGTTTCAACTGTCTAGGAGGAGCGGCCTGTCGTGCCCCATCGACTCTTTTGTGTCTGATGCAAGTCGGGCACACAAGATTCTTGGCGATGTTGACGGCTTCCGTGGAGGCCTTGGCGGTCTTCAGGATGTTTGCTAGTTTTTGGTTTCCTGGGTGTCCTAGTCCGCAGTGCGCTCTCCGAACAAGGCTTTCAATGCTACCTGGTCGTTCAAGAGGTAGAGGTCGTTCAGCATGAGGGTCTTCTTCCGGTAGTCCATCTTCTCCTAGATCACGAACTGGTAGTGGTTCATGATGATCAGCTTGAGGTCCCTCCTCCGACTCCATTTCTTCGCTCGCCATGATCTCCATGAGTCGGTCCACTTGGTAGCTCTCCTTGAAGAGGTCGTCGGTGTGGGAGACATAGAGCTCCTCGGTGTAGGAGATGGAGGCCTTATATGCCTTAAGGATGTGGTCTACCAGAGCTGTAGGGTACCTAGCCGCGTAGGCTGATCTTTGGATTCCGTGTGAGGATCCAAGGATTGGTCGGTGAGGGTGGTCGCCTGGGCATTCTTTGTGAAGTGCACTGGCCAAGACCTTGTTGTTGCACAACCATCCAGTGGGCTTCTTATGGTAGTCACCCTCGATGGATTTGAGCTCAAACTGGCATTGGTCATTCTTGGTGAGGAAGATAGCCGGATCTTCAAGGAGGGTCCTCAGGCGGTGATCCTGCCAGGCCTTGGATGTCCATGGATGCTCAAATAGAAATGTACCCCCATATTCATGAACCATGTGGCACAGTTCCACCGCAAATCCTAACAACAATTTGGCCTCCATGAGTCTCCTATGGTATTCCTGTTGTTTGTGAGGGTCGGACTCTCGGAATTTAAGACTCAAATTCTGCAACATGGACAGCATGGTGCAAGGAGGGGAGATGCACACCAGCCCTGGTTTATGTTTGTTCAAATACTCGCGGACGGTCCTACGATAGGTTTCCTTAGTCAAGTCATGTCCGAGTTCGAGGTCGAACGCTTCGCCGGCTCGTAAACCATGTCGTTTCGAACGGCTCGAAAAACGATTCGGGTTGTAAACCTCTGCGACCAGCTTAGCTTGTTTCTTTCCGGTGGAAGGTCCCAGGAGTTTGGCCAAACGGTGCACGAATTTACAATTCGGAGTTTTTGAATTGGCTACTGTACAGAGCAGCTGGTCAAAGGGATTAGGTCCCTCTGGCTCCTGTAGGCAAGTCATAAGGTTC